CCAGTCCACCAAATCATAGGCCTTTTCAAGATCCAATTTACAAATGAAACCTCTCTTCCTAGACCTTTTCATTTCCTCCACACACTCATTCGCAATTAAGATCTGATCTGTTATTTGTTGCCCTTGAATGAAAGCCCCCTAGGTTTCACTAATGATAGAAGGGAGGACTATTTTGATCCTCAACGAGAGCACTTTAGCTAGAATTTTATAGATGCTTGGCATCATTCTTCTTAGGTATCAAGGCCAAAAAGGTGGCATTAATTCCAGGGCTTATAATTTGATTGTCTGCAAATTCCTTAAAGACTTCAACTAAACCCTCTTTCAACACCTCCCAACAGTCTTGATAAAAACCCATTGTAAAGCCATCTGGACCTGGAGCCTTGGATCTATCCATTAGAAAGACAACATTCTTAATCTCTTCTTCCTCGAAATCCCTTTCCAGCCACCTTGCCGCTCCGCCATCAATTCTTGGCCATTCCACCCCTTCCACGACTGCTCTATCACTCAAAGGTCTTCTATAAATCGATTTGAAGTGGTCCACAAATTTTCTGRCTATGTCATCCTGGTTGGTAATCACCTCCTCTCCTATCTCTAGCTTGGTCACAAGATTCTTTCATTGTCTCCCATTTGCCAAATCATGGAAAAATCTAGTGTTTCCATCGCCTTCCTTAATCCACTTGTGTCTAGATTTTTGTCTCCAACTGATTTCTTCCCTCATTACACCTTTTTCAATTGTCTCCTTAACACTCTGTCCTCCTCGGTCAACCCATTTTGAGATTCCTTTACATCCAAGTTTTCTATTCGAGAGATTWGGCACAAYTTTTGCTCCTCAWTTCTACCAAAATGATCTCTATTCCACTCTTTTATTTTGGCTTTCAACCTTTTTAATTTCTTATGAAACTTGATCCCCTTCCATCTTACCCCCCTCTCCTCCTCACCCCACCATTCCTTCACTTTTTTCACAAAATTTGGATGGGTGAGCCACATATTTTCGAATCTAAAAGGTTTGGGTCCTATAGGAAAAAACTCAGTACCTATCTGGATAGGACAGTGATCGGAGGTGACCCTTGGTAATGCTCTAGCAACCAAGTTTTCCAAACTATTCTCCCAGGCAAGGTTAAATAAGAACCTGTCCAACTTCGAACACAAAGGGGTTTCCTGAAGGTTGGACCAAGTGTAACTGGCTTGCAGCAGAGGTATTTCCTTCAGTTCACATTCTTTAATAAAACCATTAAATTTCCTCATGCTTGTTGTAATTACCTGTTAAGGATTACTGGTTTCATCAGAGAATCTAATGACATTAAAATTCCCGCCCAGGCACCAAGGGCCATCCCATAGCCCCTTGATTGCATATAGTTCCTCCCACATCTCATTCCTCTCTCTATAGGAATTAGGGCCATAAACATTGGTTAAGACCCATACACACCCATCCTCTACATTCTTACACTTAATGGAAAATGAGAATCTGCATCAATTCTTCCACTACTTCCATCACATCCTCCCTCCACAGTGTTACGATCCCCCCCGAAGCTCCCCAAGAAGGAGACGAGCTCCAACCTAAACCTCTAGACCTCCAAAAACTCCTCACCCATCTCCCATCTAATTCCAACATTTTGGATTCTTGTAACAGCACAATATCGGGTTTTTCCCTTCTGAGTAGGTCTTTGATCACCCTTCTCTTTCTTGCACTCCCTAACCCTCTTACATTCCAGCTAATAATTTTCATCGAGACAAAATAGCAAAAACTCATGAAAAGGCCATAATCTCCTCATTTTAGGTCCTTCCTTCTATCTCTTCTACCAATAAATTCTAAATCTCCCTCAGTGTCTGAGATTAGCCTTTCCACTTCAGATCTTTTTTTCTTTGTTCCTTTCCCCCCCCCCTTCCTAATACAACAATCATCCTCTTTCTTTTCTCCATCCTTTCCAACCAATGTCTGAGGAAGAATTTTACCCTGCTCACACTTATTTTGGCTACAACATCTCTCTAAGAATCCTTCCTTGTTTTTTAGTTCCTCCATCATTGTACAGATCAACTCCCAAATTCTGTCCGCCTCCCCCTTACTACTTCCTTCCATCACCCTCTCTCCTCCTTCCACTATCA